TTCAAATGCGATAACTCCGAGCTACCTACAAAGTAGGTTGTCGTCCTGGAATAAGTCGGATCGCATAGCGGGTTGGATATCCAATTTAATTAAAAAAATAATTCATTAATGAATTGGGAAAATTGCATCAAAATGGAACCAACTTTCACCTGATTCCTATTTTGGGGAACCAACTTTCAAAATCGTTATTTTGGGGGAACCAACTTTCACCTGATTCCTATTTTGGGAAACCAACTTTCAAAATCGTCATTTTAGGGAACCAACTTATACCTGATTCTTATTTTGGGGAACCAACTTGCAAAATAATTGTAGGACAATGGGAAAATTACACCAAAATGAAACCAACTTTTACCTGATTCCTATTTTGGGGAACCAACTTTTAAAATCGTCATTTAAGGGTCTCTATCAAACTTTTGTTTATTTAAGGGTCTGGTTGATCTGTTGAACATRTAACADGTARTTTAAGGGTCTCTATCAAAGTTTTGGTTGGATTTGCCAAATTTGATTTAAACTTTAATATTAACACAGATTGGTTAGATATAAAAATCTTGAATGTGATATTTAATATTTATTTTTTATTGCATCAATTAATTTTTTTCTATTAAATTGATTTTTTATTGCATTAACAAAAAAAACAACTTTTATCGTGGTAATTTGAATTTTTTCGAAAAAATCTTCAATTTGATATCTGAATTAAAAAAAACGATATTTGAAATGAAAAATAGATTTTATTGCAAAAAAATAAATTTTAGTTATTTTTTTATAATTATTTTGAAACTTGGTTCCCCAAAATAGGAATTAGGTGCAAGTTTGTTCCCCAAAATGATGATTTTGAAAGTTGATTCCCCAAAATAGGAATCAGGTGAAAGTTGGTTCCCCAAAATGACGATTTTGAAAGTTGGTTCTCCAAAATAAAAATCAGGTGAAAGTTGGTTCCATTTTAATGCAATTTTCCCTAATGGATTTATATAAAATAACATAATTTAAATTAACGAAATTAATATTTTTTTAATTTAAAATTATACATTAAATAAAAATTATATTTTTAGAAGTAATGTATATTTACACATTCCCTTTTTTTTATCACAAAAGTTATATTCACATATAATTTAAAACTTACGAATTTAATATTTTTGATTTAAAATTACATATAAAATCAGTTATATATATTAAAATAATATATCTTTACATATTCCCTTTTTTATTATAAAAAATTATATTCACATATAATTTAAACTCATGAAATTATAATTTGATTTAAAATTATATAATAAAAGCATTATACAACTCGACCATAATTAAATTAATTATAATTTAATACTTGTTATTCCAACAAACACCTACACGACCAAATGTATCTAAACTCCTTATATAAACCCCTACAATATCCACCACCAACAACAATCTTATCCGATAAAATATGTGTCTTAATGATAGCTAGGATTCAACGAAAATCAACAACCACGTTATCTGAAAAACAAAGAACCAAAAAGATTTTGGCCCAGATCAAGATCATGGAGAAGGAGTTGGAAGAAGTGAAGAAGAAGAACGAAGATTTAAGGATGCAAGAGATAATGTTTAGACTTATACTGGATCCGGAAGCATCTATCGAAAATGTATCTAAGGAGGACCTTCGTCGACTCGATCCCTATTTAGATGATTCGATCAAAAAGATTGATGAAGGTCTTGTTTGATGCTTCTTTCTTACTTGGCATGTCAATGTCATGTCTTCAAGATTCGTGTCCTAAGTTTTTATGTGTCAAACCATGTCTCGTCTATGGTTTTCGTTTTTACCAGTTAAAAGTTGTGTCTGTTGTCGCTTCGTTTACGGGCACTCTTATAATAATCATTACAAGTGTCGGTTTTCGTACAACTTTTTTCATATAAAAGTTTATAGTTACAAAAAAATATAAATAAAAGCCTTGGCTTTTGTTATGTTATTTTTATTATCTTCAAATATAGAAGAAAAAAAAAAAAGTTGATATATCTAAATTTTATAGTAAAAAATGATATATATGCCAGCTCAGTCATAACTCGAAAACCATAGTAGTATTCAAATTGCCCATAGTTTTATATATATATATATATATATATATATATATATATATATATATATATATCTATCTATCAAATCTTGTTGTAGAAACATTGAAGAGATGGCAAGGGGTAGGAGGGTGAAACTCGTTAGAATTGTCAATGAAAGAAGCTACCTTGCAAAAGAGGAAGGAAGCTTGCATCAAGAGCCTGCAAGACATCTGTCGATTCTGTAGGGCAGTAGCATGCCTCATCATCTGCGATGGTCCGAACGATCTTGGCACGAACGACCGACAAGAATCTGCGGCGATGGTGGCAAGGTTCATGAGTCCACGCGTGAAAGAAGCGAGAAGTTGGTGACACAAGAAAAGATCATTCAAGGTTTATTGATGGAAGATATATAAGAAAAAGTTGGAAGAATTGAGGAGGAAGAGATGATGAACGAATTGATTGTTGATCCAGCATCCATTGCAACTGCCTACGGGAAACTCAATAAGCTCTTTCTATATATAAATGATTTCATACAGACCATTGATGTATTTTGTCTTGATCTTAATGTTTGATTGCCAATTTATTCACCACATATATGAAAAAAGTGCATTTTAACTTCTTTAACTTGTTCAATTCAATTAAGCTGGCTTATAAGAATAGTCGTTCACAAATAAAATAACATGCTACACCCAGTTCCGTATTTAGTATGGTATAAAAGCGGTCGTTACAAAAAAATTAGGCGAATCCGAACTGGATAATTAAAGTTAATGGACGAACATGCGCTAAGCAAAACATTAACGACACAAACCATAATTAATTAAATTCTAATTTCCGATATATATATGCTTGACTATTCTTCTAGTCGACCTCAAATCTTAAAGTTTATTTAAATAAAATCTTCAAAAGATTTTTCAAAATATTTGTACAGACAAAGAAATCGCTAAAATTTAATTTTGTAGAAGGAAAGATACTTTTATTATTATTAATATTATTCATTTTGGAAAAGGATTAGAGAGAGAAACAAAAATATTATTTTATAATAAGTTTGTTGTATATTAAATGTGTTTAATATTTTGTTAATATAAAATAATATTAGAATTTCCAAAAATAGATAATAATTGATGGAGTATATTATAAATTTATTTTTGGAGATTTTGGCTTTCTGTTAAAAAAAATACCCTAAAAACCGAGACAACTAATTATTAGCTAGTTTGCCGACTGTAATCTAATGATTTTTGTTCTGCCGATTTCGTTCTTAATATTTTAAAGTACTTAGAATTTATCTTGAATTTACAAAATTTGAGACATGAATAGGTTTTGTTGTCATGAAATATGTTTTCCAAAAATCCAATATTTGGTTTGATCAACCATAACCAGGCTTTTTCAAGCTGGGATTAGGCCTATCCCTGTCCCCAAAATTTCGACTTGAACGGGTTTTAAATGTCTGGCCGGAACAAGGATTTGGGCTTGGACTTTTTTTGTGAATCCCTAATTCGAAGTGCAAACTGAGCATATTTATATTTGATTTGTCGATATCAAACAACACTATAAACAAATTGGATTTATAAGATGTTTAGAATGTTTAAGCGTCGTAATAGAATACTTTATAGAACTTAAATTTATATGATCAAACTATAAAGCATCATATCTAAAAGTGTACAATAATTTTGTAAGACGCTCATAGGTGTTATAACAATTCTTTTAGGACGTTTTTTAAATAAAATATCATATTTCACCCGCCTTAAGAAAACTTGTTAAAACGTCTAAAAATATTATATAATGTAACAACCCAAAAACCAAAAACCAAAATAACAATATTTATAAACGAAAGCCAAACCGGCACCAAAAGTAAATGAATATAAAGATTCTCCATACATCTCGATAGTTTGTAGGGGGAAATCTACATCTGCAACTAAGATCTATTACAAAACTAGGGACTAACAGCTACTAAACTGCAAGCCAAAATCCGTTCAGATCAAATCTCCCTTTCCCTTTTAAAATACATTCAACATGAAACTTACCTGAAAATGGTTTAGTTTTGAAAAGGGAGGGTTAGACTAAAACGTGTACTGAATTCCTTTAATTTCACCTTCAAGAGTTAAAACGCTTGAATAGAGAAATTGGATATAAAAACACCATATGCAATTAAATATGTGCATAATTCCCACACACAGGATTTTGTATAGCGTTCGTAGCTACACACCGTCACACCACCCCATGACATTCACAATTAAGGCCCCAAATAGACGTCTATCCAATGTGCCAATAAACAAACTTAAGGGGCACGAATTATCACTTCCAAGAGATATCACTATCTCAAGGTACACTACTGACACTATACAAATCCATATATCCCATGTAACCACGTAACTTTAAAAAAATATAAAATGTACAAAATGGGAATTTGCATAACAAAATCTATAAGCGGTACTTTAAAAACGTCTATGAACGGTATCATGTTTATAAAGTAGAGGTAAGAGAACCCATTTATCTTAATTACCCAAAAAATGCACCTACTATAACCGTAAAGGTAATTCTCTAAAATGATGCTTCAACATTTCCCTTAATTAAAAAACTTGATAATTTAGAATGCGCCAAAAAAGTAGCTGCTGCGACTTGCGCCTTGACATAAGTCGCGTCAGGCTCTATTTTTGTTTTTTTATTAACCTGGATATCCAACCTGTTATGCGAGCCGATTAATCTCAGAGTAATCATCTGCTTTACAGATAGCTTGGAGTCATCGTATTTGAACCTCTGTGGTCACAATATGATTTTTATTTCTCACTGGATTTAAACCTGAGACCTTCTGATACTTTTGACCTTTGACGCCAAGCGTCCTACATTTTAATATAATGGGTGTTATTAGACAATAAAATAAAATAAAAAGTACATGAATCTTAAATTAAACGATCATTTTGTAAATATCGAAAGATGACGTTATGAATACTATTACATCAAATTTAATATTTTATGCTAAAAATAAGTACAAAAAATATTCCATGTATATATTGGAGATGACGTAATAAAGCATAAATATTAGTAGTTTATTTATTTATTTATTTATATCGTTTTACATATTGATAAACAATTGGTTTCAACGAAAACATAAAACGGTTACATATATTATATGATGATATATCTTCATCAATTTCTTCAACATCCAACGTTATTATTTCTCTCCGCCGCCGGAGTTATCTGTCTCGTCATCAGAGTGATTCCCTACGCCAAATACTGCTTCATCGTCCATAACTTCTCCTTGTCCAGGAGGTGTTGTTCCGCCGCCGCTAGAGCTTCCACCACTTTCAATACTGAGTGCTTGAGCGGCGGCCGCCCTTGCCGCGGCGGCACGGATGTCATCAGCCGTCGGACACTCCGGAAGCATCCTAGATAAAACAGAATCAGGAAAGTTTAGTACCGCATATCTACCTTTGAGTGCTAATGCTGCCACGTCGTAAGCGGCGGCGGCCATCTCCGGTGTCGGATACGTTCCTAGCCATATACGAGTAGACTTGTTTGGTTCACGAATTTCAGAAACCCATTTTCCAGCTCGACATCGGATTCCATGGTAAACCGGTTGTTGGCGGCTGGAGGAGCCGTCGGCGACGATGGGTTGTGGGTTGTCTTCATTATCGGGTAGCTGAAAAGCGGAGGAGTTACGGCGTCGACGGTTAGCCATGCAATCTAATGGTTGGGGTTGTGGGTGGTTTATTTATAGCAACTAGATTCCGTCGGTGGTCCTCGTGGGGCCGAGGGTATTTGAGTTAGCGTGGCGAATTCGCGGATGCGCTTTTAATAAACAAGACAAAACTCAACTTTATGGTGGAACACAAAACTCAAATATTTCAATCTACACCACGTACTATGAAAAACTACATATAGGACCCTGTATATATTATGGAATTAATGAAGCAACTTAATCTAGGACAAGAGGCCGACCCATATGGATAGATACAATGACACAGACTACCGCTTCATGATTTCGTTATAAAAGAAAAAAATTATGTTTTATAAAGGTGTCACCTTATTGTTTTGTTAGGTGTCACTATATAGTTTTTTAAACTGAAATATTATCCCAAGACTTTAATGATTAAGATGGTAAATGTTTCTATTTTTATACAAAAGCCCATCTTCAAGTTCTCAAATTTGTTGCTTTTTAAACTTAAATTTTGGTTTTCTTTATAAATCTTTTGTGTTTAAAAAAATATGTGTCTTTTCTATGAAAGGATAAGCAAGCAACCAAAATGTCATGTAAAATATTTTTTCGATAATAGTGTTTCAAAAAAACATGTTAAAACATTCAAACACATCTAATAAACTTATTGTAACACTTTTACGTATAACACATAATTGTAAGGTTATTTAAACTTAAGTTATGTAAAGTAGTCTATTATTACTTTTAAACATTTTTGACGTTCTATATAGAAATTGTAACATATTTTGTTCTAATTTCAATTTTGCGAAACATAATTTCAATACGCTTATTTGGTATTTGAAAGGGAAAGTTTCAAACAGTTAATTACCTAGATAACCGGTTTAACTACTAACCGGTTAAAATGTTGATTTGACGAGTGATGTGTAGTGGGATACAACTCGATATTTGTTTGTTGATGTGGCTAATGAGGTGGGTTTGCAATGAAATTTGGTTGTCTTGAAACTTTTGACAAATTAGAGAAATAAAGGATAGGATATAGTAATTATATATAATACGAGGGGTTAGATGAAAATATCGGTCTAGTTCTTATCATAACATACTAGCAGTGTGTGGTTATGTATGATTATTATATGTTACAATAATGTGAGAGAAGGACACACGCAAACAAAATCATTAATGCCAAATCTACCCGTTTGTCACTCGTTACATAACTACATTCATATATTATATATATATAGAGGGTATATTTCAAATACAATCATGTTCATTTGTACAACCAATGCAACTCAATTAATTGAGATATTTATAAAAATAATGAGAATTCATTTATTATGATTTGAATATTTATGGAAGATGAATAAGGTTAATTAATTAATCAATTTTTGATGATCAAAAAATTGTCAAGAGATATTATAATATATTTTTTTTGATTAACCTGAATATCCAACCCGTTATGCGAACCGAATGATCTCAAAACGACCATTTGCTTTGCAGGTATCCCGAAGTCACCACATTTGAATCTCCATGACCACAAGAGATTTTTTATTACTTCTTGAATTTGAAACTAGGACTTCCAGACATTTTTAACCTTCAGATACTATAGTATTGGTTTGATAGTGAGGAAAAATGCAGGTCAAATTCAAAATCAACTTTGACACGTAATCTTGAATATGAATCGACCCTCACCAATTGAGAGCTTGCTTATTGGTCCCAGGAATGGTCCTCGACCTTCTTTTTCCATTCTTTGAGTTCAATAATGTCCGCATACATCAATATATCATCTTTCAAAAGATTCTTTATAAAGACTACATTGGTTTTAAAATTACAATTCGTTATTGTTTTCGACTCTTACCTTTTAAAGATAGGAATTAGTCAACCATAAAGGTAGGGTGATGCCTGATTGGTTTGAGCTTGGCTCCAAAGGTCAAAAGTACCAGGAGATTCCAAGTTTAAATCCAAAGAGGAATAAAAATTTCTTTGTGGCCATGGAGGTTCAAATGCGGTGACTCCGGACTATTTGCAAAGCAAATAGTTGTCATGGAATTAGTCGGCTTACATATCGGGTTGGATATTCAGGTTAATAAAAAAAAAAAGAATTAGTCGAAGGATAAAAATAACAATAATTTATAAATTTTAGAAATAAAAATTGCAATTTATAAACTTTAAAATAAAAATTATTAAACCACACAAAAATCATAATTTACTCTTTTTGAAAACAGGGAATTAAAAGTAAAAGTATCTAAAAGCGATTACATTTTTAACTACTAGAAATGTACTCGTTTAATATATCGAAACACATCCCGATTTTAACGTTTTTATTTTATTTTTTTATCTATGTCGATATCATAAAAAATTGAAAAAAATATATCAATATTAGTATCAAATTAATTATTTAGAAGTTCTCATTTCCTTAATAATTTCTTTAATTTATTTTTTATTATAATTTAATTTAAGTCTAATATCGGATTAATTTATTTTTTATTTAATAATAAATTTTTTTATATAGAAATAGGAATTAAGTACTCTGTAATAACTCAATTATTATCTTAATTATATGTTAGATTTTTTATATTTAAAATGAGATGTTTATCCAATATTTAATTATATTTATCTGCAGTTAGTTACATGAATTCAAATATAAAGCTTTAATAAGTTAAACCAACGCACATTCAACTTGTAATATTAAATTTTAAGTAATATAAACAGTAGTTTATGCATAAAATATGGTTTTAAGAATTTTTGTCAAATACTTTATAATGTAACTAGAAGGGTACTCGTGCAATGTATCGAGACACCTCTTGATTTCAGTGTTTCGTTTTATTCTTTTTTTATGTCGATATAATACGGTTTTATGTGGCTTTGAGAAAGCGATAATGTTTTTTTTTTAAATAAAATATAAACTTGAAAATGTCATAAAATTTTGAAAAAAAATATCGATATCAGTACCAAATTAATATTTTTAAAAGTTCTTGTGTTTTGGTGTAATTTTCTTAATTCAATTTTTTAATATAATTTAATTTAGATTTACTAACAAAGAAATCTAACTTAGATTTAATAATATAATTATAATAACTAAGTATTCTATTAAAACTTAATGATTACCTTAATTATAGTTTAGATTTTTTATATTTAAAATGAGATGTTTATCCAATATTTAATTATTTTTATCTGCAGTTAGTTACACGAATTCAAATATGAAGCTTTAATAAGTTGTATTTATGCACAATTTACTTATAATCTTAAATTTTAAGTAATATGCATCAATAAACATAATTTCGTGCATAAAAATGGTTTTTAATAATTTTTGTCAAATGCTTAATAATATAGTATAGATATAGACATGTAATGATTATTTAAAATACTCATTTACCCTAAATATTTTCTAAAATTTGTATTTATATTAATTAACATAACTGAATTGTTTTAAATATATTATGAAATATTCAATTTTGTTAAGTTTTAAACATATCATTTTTGGTAATTATACATTTTCCAACTAGATTATCGTGAGCTAGTTTTTGCCAAACATATTTAGTTCATCAGCTAGCTTATCAGTCACCAACTAACTTATCAGTTATCAACTATCTTATCTACTATTTTGCCAAACATAACGAATTACACACCACACTAAAGTTAATTTTATACTACGTCAAAAACGTCTAAATATTTTTGATACTTTGCTTTATACGATTTAAGTTTATTAGATCAAACAATAAAACGCTATTTCTAAAAGTGTTACAATAATTTATATGACAATTTTAGACGTTTTAGTACATTTTTAAATAAAAACAGTTTATTAGTTTTTTTATATCACACTATTTGAAAAAGAGTTTATATAAAAAAGTTATAAAAAAAAATGTTTATTAGTACATTTGATTTAAAAAAGTGTTTGAATTTAAAATTGAAATTCCAGAAATATAGGAATTAAATATTTGATGGGGTAGTTGGTATTTTTGGAATTTAATATGATTTTTTTAATAATGTTTTGAAAAATTGTTAAAAACACTAGTTTTTGTAAATTAATTAATAGAAAGATAATTTAATTACTTTTATAATTATTTATAAATTCAATTTCATTCAAAATACTATAAAACATACAAATTGAATCATATATATTTAAAATCTTTTTACGAAGCCTAATGGGCCGTTTACCAAATACTTACCCGGTAATTGTTTATCAATAAAATTTAATAATATTATTTACTTACTGGGTAAGATTTTAATCCATCAAAACGATATCACATGCAACAATTTACCTGGTAAGTGCTTACCGTGGTAAGAGTCGTCGCCTTCACTTACCGGGTAAGACTCTTGATCCTTACCATATTATCCGATGAGGTAATACGACTTGGTAAGCAGTGACGGATCCAAGATTTTTGTTCAGTGGGGTTACCTTTAAGGTGGATTAAAGACCCATAAAATTATCCGATGTGTTTTGAACTTAATTACAACGTTTTTGAGAGAATTTTAAAGTTTTTTGGTTGATTTCGAGGGATTTTTTTAGTGTTTTTGTCAATTTTGAATAACTTTTTTGGTTTATTTGATTGATTTCAACAGATTTTTTTGGTTGGATTAACGGTTTTGATTGGGGTTGGGGGCCCACGGAAAAATGTAATGAGGGAAAGTGAAAGGTAAATCATGTAAAACCTAATTAAATTTTAACCTATGATTTTTTTTTTTGAGTTTTTGACCGAGGTCCCTTCCCCCCTCTTTTTTACCATTACATTTGCCTCTGTTGATAAGTGCTTACCCAAGTAAGCACATTAAATATCTCAAAAATATGCTATCAAGAGTAGGGATGGCCAAACCGGTCCGGCCCGGGACTACCGGAGGACCGGGCCCGGGACCGAAATCTGGTTATGGGACGGCCTGGTCCGGCCCGATTTTTAAAAAATGTAACTATTTTTAAAAATGTAGCCGTTTTTTGGCCATTTTTTTGTATTTTTTGCTTTCTAATTAAACACTATATGCAAGTGTCTTGGTTGAGAGATTTACATACCAAGTTTTCGATTCGCAAAAACGTAAAAATACGTTCACAATTATCGGTTTCTCGTTATATTTTGTAAGATAATGTAATTTTAATTATAATAAAACACATTTTTAAAGTGGATTTTAGTGACCCAATTACAAATTTTATAATGTAATAAAAATATATATCATTAAAAAATAAAAATAAAAAATATATTTTTTAATGATGGGGACCGGCGGCCCATAACCGGTTACAATAAAGCTTGACCAGACTCAATTTTTTCGAGCAGGAGTGGGACTGAGACTGGTTATGGCCGGTTATGAGAAATTTTGGGACCGGTTGGAACCAACCCGGGACCGGTTTTTGGCCATCACTAATCAAGAGAAAAAATAATTAATCTTTTATAATAAACTAGAAGAGTACTCGCACAATGCAGCGAGACACATCTCGATTTTAATGTTCTATTTTATTATTTGTCTTTGTCGATGGTATAATACGATTTTATGTGTTTTTAAGAAAGCAATAATGATTTTATTTTTGAATAAAATATAAATTTGAAGATATCATAAAAATTTTAAAAAATATATATATCAATGTTGATATCAAATCAACTATTTAAAAGTTCTTATTTTTTATGTAATTTATTTAATTTATTCTTTTATTATAATTTAATTTAGGTTTAATAATGAAATAATTTATTTTTAGTTTAATAATATAACATTTTCTAAAGATAATAATT